AGTGTAGTGAGTGTGTGTGTGTGGACATGGGTGAAGTGTTGTGTGTGGAAAAAGGTAATGCATTTATCAAAACCAAAGACAGCATCAAACCAAGGACCTGTTGGCTGGAAAGAGAGAGAGAGACAACAAACTGATCAATGTCTTATACAGCCTAGTAATCAAGATTAAACCAGATGTAACCCATCCCATGACCACCCCCCTGCCACTCTATCTCCTGTGAAGAACAAGGGAAAAAGACACAGACCAACCAGAGGGGGGAAAATTCGAGAAAATTACAATAGCCAATCTTGTAAGAAAACCAAAACGTATGAGGTTATGGTTGGTGCACTCTACCATACCTCAAAATGCTGCAATCCCAAAGTAATACTAAGACTTTTTTCGTTTGCACTTGTGTTTGGATTCTTTTTTATGTTTGACCTTGACGGTTCCTCCAAAACAACTGAAACCAATCTTTGCTCTATCAAAAGTGACTTTTAACCTCTTTGCTGTCTGCTATAAATGACTCTATAACAATGCAGTCCCTCCTATCGTACCACTTGGCAGTTGCCTGCTGCATGTGTCTGTGTGAAGTGATCTTTTTTACGGACATAATTCATCTTGTGAAAAGAAAAGTAATGCCTGCAAAACAAACAAGGACTGCTGCCCACAAATAACCAACGCAAAAGCTCCTCCATCTGTGGACCTTCTTGTGTACCCTTGGATGAGAACGGTGGCACTTTGCTTGAGTTACTGCGCCAGCCAGGAACAACTCTACCACAGGTTCAAAAGCTGTTACTTCCCCATCTGAGACTAAAGGAAGCGGCTACGGAACATGGTTGACCACACTAGGTTCAGGAATCTGAGTGACCACATTAGGTAGAGGAACTTTGGTGACTATACTAACTACAGGAATGTCTGCCCAAACTCTATTTCCCACCAAGTCATTTCCAAGAACTATATTCACCCCATCCGCAGGGAATGCTGGGCACACTCCAACTGCCACCTCTCCAGTGACCAACCCGCAGACTAGGTTTATTTTATGCAGTGATGCAGGGATAAGAGTCATACCCATATGTCTGTGTAAATAAGTGTTTCTGTAAGGGGTGTATTGCATAACTAAATTGCAAAGATAAAACACAGTATGCAATTTTCATGTGTGTACATCAGGCACTGTGTTATTTCACGACACATTGAAATACACAGACATGCAGGATTGTTTTCGAATGTATGTAGAAGGCCAGGAAGTGGTGAGCTTTTCACATGTGAAATGAGGGCATGCAGCGGATTTAGTTTTAGATGATCTCTAAGGTCTCAAGTGATGAACATGTCAAGCCTAATAGATAAATTGCTGTACACAAATATTCTAATACTTCTACTGTTTTACATTTGTCTGCAGAGGTCAAGGTAAGCTGTAACACTGTTTTATCTTGTGATGTGACTTTCAAGAGAGCATGAGGGGACATTTTGAATAGATTGGAGTCATTAACTTATTTATATGAGGTATGAATAAAATAGGGACCATAATTGTCTTCACATTCGTCTTAAGATGAGCTCTCAGACTGAGGTTGAAGTGCTACTTGTACATTAACTGTTGCCAAAATTCACAATCATTGTCAGTGATAGCTCTGGTTCTTCTTGATTCTCTGGAAGTGTTGTGGTAAATAGAGGCATACGTTATATACTCCTTAAAAGGATAAGGTAAGGAGAAGAAGTCAAACTACATTTCTATGCCTCCTTTCCATAGTAATCCTACTTTTGTCATTCAAAACATCTGCAGAACTGAATCTTGAATTGTTTTATTGTTTTGGTTTTGCATGTTTTTGTGCATATTAGAACATCATATGCATATTGTTTTATACCAGAATAAAATCAAAACATCAGCATAATAATGGCACCATTATGTGCATCATGATCATGCAAAGTAAATGTTAGGATGTCTGATAATGCTAGTAATACACACATAAATATAGAACTGCTGAAATTTTATTAACACAAGAATCATATGAATATTGAAACAGTTTTTGCTTCCTGTAATTCACAATGTTCAAACTGGCCATTAAGAGACGTCTCCTAATTATCCCGGTGTAAGTGATTGGGAACAAAATCCAGTCCCCTGAAGCCAGAGTCTGCTCTTTCTGTTTTGAATTCTGATATTAAGTTGTAAGCGGCTCATCTTGCCTTGAAACTGATTGTTTGTTTGAACAGAAAAGAGAAAACCTCACAAATGTATTTCTGTCCACAGACCATGACAAACTTGGACTCTCTTAGTTCAGTCCTCAGTGGCTGGTAGGAAAGTGCGTTCAGAATCCTGTCTATTTTATTTAGCAAAAACGCTCCACTACAATGACCACCCACTGTAAAATGACCTCTTGTCACTGCACTGAAAGCCCCCTTACAGCTTACCACCGTATCCATTGCCAGTATACCTCGCAGCTGAATATATTAAAGTATCTCAAACGCCAAGTAAAAGTCAAACGCAAGAGAAATCTTCCCCTGCTGACTAATTTTGGCTAGTATACCCGTTCCTGTACTAATTCCCAGGACATAGTTACGACAGTATCATGAACAAAAGTGGTACTCTGTAAACTTTTAATCAATAAAAACAATCAATAAAACCAAAATGAAACAAAGGCGGCAAACAGTAAATTACACTACTCTACTATTTCATATGCATACAGTAAAACATAAATAGTTATGTATAGATACAGGTAGAGACAGAAATGTATTTTGCATACACATACAAAACATATAAAACATAAATTCTCAGATCTTAAATATCTATTTGTAGTATATTTTGGGTGGTGTGCAGCAATTCTCAGGAGCACTAACTTGCAAAATAAGCACAAACTTTGAAATGCAGATTAAGGTATTTGTTGTGGACACAATTACATAAACATTGCAATCTATCTTCGTTGATATAATAATGTGGCAATGGCACAGATTGCTACATTTTAAGTTTGTGCCTAACGTGGGGTAAGTTTCGACAACTGAAACTTTGCTTCAAGGTGGAGCACAGTTTTGGCTCTATTTCAAAAGAACATAGATACAGATCAAACTTTCATCTGCAATACAAAATAGAGTGACAGCAGGTGTACTCACAGTAGTACAGAGTCATTTTCTGTTTACAGGGTTACAGAACTGTTCTTTTCCTTTCATGGTGGAAAAAGCACATACGCCCATTGACATTGAAAGTCACACTGAATGCACCAATTCTGAAGACACATTTTTCTTCAAGCAAAAATGTAAGCCATCAAAATAATAAAAATATTTGACACATAGTGACTTTAAGATCCTCAGTCAATCAGGACATGGTGCAACTAACCCAAAAACCATATTACATAGTAATTCAGTACACTATGTACTGTGTCCTAATCATCACAGTATACTATTTTAACATAAGTGAAACCGGTATTAGGCGGATGTCAATTAAACTGCAGATTTGAAAACCTATTTAGCCAGTGAAAAATATTTTCCCAAACACCACCACCCACAATTTATTAACATTTGTTTAGCTCAGCTGTGTGCATTGCATTATGGGAGAATAGTATCCATCAACGGCACCCTCAAAAATCGACTAGTTTATTTAGTCACTTTTCCAGTGTAAACACCCATACTTAAAACCCTGCTTAGAACCTTTGGTATGAATTTAGGACACGGTTAAATTTCATTTGACTCCAGATATTGTTCTAACAAACACAACATTTGAGGAACCTATTACTCGTTTACACACACACAACAATTTTGTGGACTAATTTTCCTGAAAACAAAAATGTTGGCAGTCAGAACTGTTTAAAGGTCCAGTGTGTAACACTTAGGAGAATCTATTGGCAGAACTGGAACATGATTCATACGTATGTTTTCATTAGTGTATAATCGCCTGAAAATAGGAATTGTTGTGTTTTTGTTAGCTCAGAATGACACGTTTTTATCTACAGAGGGAGCGGGTCCTCTCCTATGGAGTCTGCCATGTTGAACCACCATGTTCAGCACAGACTTTGCAGTACACAAATCTCCCAAAAATCACAAAAAGGATAGGGCCTTTTCGTGATTTTTGGGAGATTTGTGGCCACCATAAGTTCTACACGCTAAATCCCACACACTGGACCTTTAAAAGATGTTAGAATTACATAAAAGTTTGGGACTTCACTACTAAATTCTATTATTCAGGTAATGGTGTAAATGGTATGGTGTTTTGTATGATTGACCAAAATTAAAACAAGTCCAGTTTCTTTCCCTGACTCACTGATTCCAGATAATGTGCTAATGTGATGAAGTTTCAGGAATCCAGGCATATCACACTAAAGAGCTGCAGTTTATCGTCCTGAGGTTGTGTTTCCTCTGTAAAGAGGTCAAATGTGATGCGAGTTTGTCTTCTTGGGGAAGGAACACCCCCGTTGTGTTCAGGCTTGAGGTTACCTCAAAAGTGGAGGGAAACATCATGGGGATTGGTGTTTCCACAACCAGCTGCTGTTGACTGTGGGTGTTTGTTTTTTTATTCTATCACAGTTTCTTCACTGAAGATGATTGAGAAGATTTGATGAACAGTTTGACTGGAAACTTGGCAGTTCATCAGCAAACAACTTCTTGGATGTCATTACACAATATTAGACACTTTCTCCTGTTTGTGATATTATCTACTGGTCCTGCATCTTCCAACAGCATGAATGAATGTTTCCTCCAGTTTCGGTTCAGCCCATGAGTACATAATCGTCATCACATTCTTCTTTAGATGAGCTTTCCGACTGTGGTTGAAGTGCTGCTGTGACATTAACTGTTGCATAGTCACAATCATCGTCAGGGGTAGCTCTGGTTCTTCTTGATCCTTTGGCAGAGTTGTGGTCAATAGAGGCATATGTTACATCCTCCTTAGGCTGTCATGAAATAATATGCAGTGAGATGGGATCCTGAACATATGCTACACATAATTTATTCTATTACTTTGTACAATGATACTGCATACAGCACGTTTTTTTTGATGTGGTTAGTGGTTATAACTTCCTGCACATGAAATAAATAGCTTCACAGTTTCTTTTACAACAGAGGCCTCACTCTAATGCTCTCCCAGTATGCAAATTTAACAAGAAAGCACCTCTGACTGGGCTATCATAAAAGTACAGAAACACACCCATGCCCTATGAAAAGCTGATAACTGTAACAAAAATAGACTAAACATTGATATGGGAAGGTCTACCTTATTATCTGCGCTGCTGTTATCATCTGGAGAAGAACCCCCTGAAAGACAGAAAAAAATAAAATGTTGCAAAACTGTGTACAATATTCATACTATATATACTAAATACTATAAAAACCATTCAAAATTTTGTTTTACCTTTCCTTTTCATCTTTATCCTAAAATAGAGCAAATGGAAATGATGAGATCATAATAAGGACCTTTAAAGAAGATCTTTACCATTAAACACACAGAGCAATGAAACCGTTATTGTGGGACGAATAAAAATATAAAAATAATGTCTTTAATATTATTTAGAAATCACAAGATAATATTTATAACAGCTTTTTAGAGGTTTTACCCCACAGCAGTGTTTCCTTGACAGCTTAACAGATGACAGCGTATGTGGTGCAACAGGAAACACTTTACATATGCCTACAGCCCACATCTGTCTATGTCCAACTGTCTATATCTGTGACTACGGCACAGCATTTCAAACTTTATCTGCGTCTAGGTCAACATCTCACATCATGTTATAACAAATATATACTGTATTGCTCGGCAATGCCGCAATGTTATTAACCTATTCACCACTGTGACCACGATGAAACAGAGTCTATTCTTAGCTATTTCCTTACTAAAGCAAATGCAGAAGCTGCTTGCTACGGAGCCAAAATGCAACTTTGTTTCATTTAAACAAGTGTTTTCAGCTCTCTCATATTTTTAAATGCTCTCACTCAAATCACTTGTGTTCTAAAGTTAAAGTTTTCGATATATGCAGCAGTTTCAGAGCTCAGAGAATGTAATCACCACTTGCTGATATATTGCTTTGTGGCATGTGAGTGTCCTTGACTATGTCAATGTAATGATGATTACTTACCCTGAAGTGCAGTTTCCCATGATGAGCCCACAGAATATGGATGTTCAGCAGGTGGCAGGTACCAGTGCTTGGTTAAGAACAGCCTTGAGCTTGACACTGATCTCACTGATCTCTCTGCTGTTGTATCTGAGTGCACACAGGCCAGGGCAGAGAGATAGAGATGAAAGAGAGAGAGAGAGAGAGTAAGTGAAATAGACAGAGAGAGAGAGAGTTAGACAGAGAGAGCAAGAGAGAGAGAGA